AAGCCGCGATTATTTTAATCGCGGCTACATTTCCCTCTGCCGATCTGGCTAATCTACATGCCTCCGTCGAAGGAGGCATGTAGTCTAGACACACCCTAGGAGACAGCAGCTATTCTGAAAGAGGGCAGGTCACAGTGGAATTTTCTGAAGTATAAAGAGAAAATAATGAAAATAATGGCAAAAAATGATCAACCAAACCATCTCCCATCCCCCCTCCCCCCAACCACCACCAAAAACATCGGATCTGGCTAATCTACATGCCTCCGTCGAAGGAGGCATGTAGTCTAGACACACCCTAGGAGACAGCAGCTATTCTGAAAGAGGGCAGGTCACAGTGGAATTTTCTGAAGTATAAAGAGAAAATAATGAAAATAATGGCAAAAAATGATCAACCAAACCATCTCCCATCCCCCCTCCCCCCAACCACCACCAAAAACATCGCTTTCAAATACAGCCAGCCACAACATTTTAGTTAATTTTAACTATTTTAGACTTGAAAAGGTTTGAATTTTTCCATGATTGCTAGCTCAACCAGAAGTAATGGGTTTAATGTCACTGGGTGACATTCTATCACTCTGCTCTGCTGGAGCTCAGACTAGATGATTAAAATTGTCCCTTCTGGCCTTAAAATCTATGAATTATTCCAGAGATTAAAAATAAGTCTGACAACTGATGATAAATGTATTTAAGGACCCATATTTAATTAATTTCAGTTAATAAACTAATTCACTAATTTATAAATTCTAAGGACTTGTCTACATGGGAAAGTTCTCTCTCTCACACACACACACACACACACACACACACACACACACACGTTTTTCATGAAAAGTTCCCTTACATCCACAACACGCAAGGTTTTTTTTTTGTTTGTTTAGCTACCATCTTATCCCACTTTAATTCATTAGCTCAGGAAGTAACATAACTCTTTAGTCTACATGGCAGGTTATGTTGATGTAAGGCAAAAGGCGGCTAATAGGTTGGTTCTGGCCTGCCAAGCTGCTGGATTTGGCCCATGACCACCTCACCAGTGCCCTTACTACAGAGCAGCTGCAGCTGCTTTAAACAGCAGGCTGCTAATTACTATGTAGTCTGGGCAGGGAGGAGAAAGCTTCGCATGCTGTCCCTGCCTCCTAGCAAATTCCCCCAGCTCCCATTGGCCGGTTTCCTGCCAACAGGAGCTGAGAAATTTTGCTAAAGGCCAGTGCAGCGAATGAAGCCTCCTCATTCCCTTATTTCCTGGCCCCCTGCCTCCATGCTGGAGCAGAGTCACGTGGAGCTGCTGCCTCGCACACAAGCAGAGGTTCTGCAGAGCTGCTGGCTGGGAGCCACCTAAGTAAACAGCTCCCAGCCAGGCCCTGCCTCTGGCAGCCCATCCCCTTTCTCCCCCCAACTATCTGCCCCAGACCACCACCCACATCCCCTCTCCCCACATCCTCCAGGTCACAACTCTCTACCAGACCCTGCACCCTCTCCTATACTCCTCCCCCAGGCCAGAATCCTCTCCTGCACACACATCCCTCCCTGACCCTGCACTCCATTCTCCTGCCCCACATCACCACCCAAACACTCTGCACATCTTTTCCCCCCTTCTCCCAGGTCAAAACCCCCTCCCAGACCCTGCATCCCCTCCTATACTCCTTTCCCAGGCCAGAATTTTCCCCTGCACCCATAACCCCTCCCGGACCCTTCACCCCAAGACCCGTGCCAGATCATAACCCCAGCCTTACCCCAAACTTCCTCTCAGACCCCACACTCTTCCCTGCACCCCAATCTTCTATCCCAAGCTCTCTTCTACACCTTCCCCACCATCCCAGACCCCATGTCCTTTCCACAGAAGTGCGGCCCTTGACCACTTACCAAAATCTTGGAGTGGCTCTGGCCCCCCTTAAAAATTATTGCTCACCCCTGATGTGAGGTGTCTTGCATCAATCCAGTTGTGTGTTTGTCTTAAATCTGTGACTCCTGATATGAGTGACCTGTTATTCCAACATCGTAGCACCTCTTCTCAGAGTGGTGTTGAGCAAAAGTCAATGTATAAAGGTTAATTAGCC